TACCTGGAAAATGAAGGGAAGTTGATGGAAACAAGTATGGGATTCTCTTCTAGTGCTCCCACTTCTCCTGTGGTGTATCAGCTTCCCACTAAGAGCACTAGCTATGTGCGAACACTTGACAGTGTTCTAAAGAAGCAGTCCACCATAATTCCATCGACATCTTACACGTTCAAGCCTGTCCCTCTGTCATCTACCTCTAGGAAGACAAAGACTCAAACCAGACAGGCATCTACAAACAGTAGAGTAAAATCATCTTACAAGCCTATACTGCCTTCACCTTTTTCTGCAAAGCAGAAACAGAGCTCTTCTGCATCAGGGGAAAAGGCTGCTAAGTCTGTCTCAAATAGCAGTTCGACTAACCAAGCAGATAGTTTCATGGTGCCAGCTCTGGACGAAAACATACTTCCAAAACAGATTAGTTTGCGCCAAGCACCACAGCAGCAACAAGCAGCTCGTCCACCAGGTTTGTCTAAATCTCAAGTGAAGTTAATGGACTTGGAAGACTGTGCACTCTGGGATGGCAAACCACGGACCTATATTACAGAAGAACGAGCAGACATCTCTCTGGCAACCCTACTTACAGCTCAGGTAAATCTGTAATAGCATCCTTTCTGTACTGTTCCTTTTCCAAATATGTGCACTTACTGATGTTGCATATAGATGGCAGAAAATAAGACTGAAGCTGCTAAGGAGTAAGACAAAGCATAGTGCTCCTTCGTGGTGTAGTCTTTGCAATGAAAGTTGAGAAGTGCTGACTTAGCAGCAGGTGAAAAAACTAATTGTGATAATAGCATGTTGATAAGGAATCATTAATGATTTGAGTTATCTCAAATTTTGACCATTGAAAACTCTGGTTAATTCAATTGCTATTCAGTAACTGCATTTCATTACTAATTGTCACTTTTTTTCCCCCCAGTTGAGCTAACTGCAAAAGAATCCTGATCGTATAACTTGGTTGTCACATAACCAACTCTTTTGCTTTCTTCACATCCTACTTATTACTGAGATGGTTTAGCTGTCTCAAATTGCCTCTCAGAAGACTTCAAATGCAAAGTCTCCTCTGTTCTGTTTTTGTTTGGTTTTGTTTTTAAGTATAGATGACAAATTTTCATATGTAAACTGTGTACTTGGAGGGGTTATTCTGAATGAACTTTGAATAGCAATTTTGCATATGCTTGTTTTAATCTTACTAAAATTTTCTCTTACTAAAATTTGAAGTGTATGCTTCTTTAAAATTTTGTATACTTCTTTAAAACTTTTTTTTTTAGGCTTCTCTCAAAAACAAACCTATCCACAAAATAATAAGACGACGAGCACCTCCTTGCAATAATGATTTCTGTCGACTGGGTTGCATATGTGCCAGTCTAGCACTGGAGAAACGTCAGCCTACCCACTGCCGCAGGCCAGACTGTATGTTTGGTTGTACTTGCTTGAAGAGAAGAGTGTTGCTAGTGAAGGGAGGATCAAAACATAAGAAAATAATGAAAAAGGCTGTACGTGGAAATCTTGTGTTCTATGGAACACAGGAAGATCAGCAAGAGGATGAAGATGTGGAAGAGGAGGGTGATGGGGAAGAAGATGAGCTGAAGCAGAAAGATAAGAAGAAGAGAAAAAGGGTGGAATACAGTGAGTATTGCTGGGCAAAACTTGCAGCTTTGCAGAAACCACCTATCTTGGTGGGCATTTTTATTAGAACGTAGTAATGGTGCCTGTTGTGGTTTAACCTGGCTGGCAACTCAGCACCACGCAGCCGCTTGCTCATTTCCCCCCCTCCCTCAGTGGGATGGGGGAGAGAATCGGGAAGAAAATAAAAGGTTAGAGCCGAGGGCTGAGATAAAGACAGTTTAATAAGAGAAAATAATAGTAATAATGAGAATGATAACAGAATATACAGAATATACAAAACGAATGATGCACAATGCAATTGCTC